AGAGAGAGAGACCCAGACCCAGAATCCAGGAAGAAAGGGCAAGAGTGATCAAGCTGGGAAAGGCAGAAGGGAGGCAGAGTGGTTCTTTGGTGCAAGCATGGATCAGATGGGAGAGCCCGGGGAGGAGGAGAAGGTGAAAAATAATCATGGCCCTGTGGCTACCAGGCCTTGGGCTGGGTGCTTTGTGAGTTAATGTTAATGGTGACAATTTACTGAGGTCTGTATGTCAGGCACTGTGCTGAGTGTTTTAAACACGGCATTTAACCATCAAGACTTCCCTGTGAAATGGGTACTCTCCCCATTCCCATGCATAGGTGCAGAAACTAGGGCAGAGAGAGCTTAAGTAACTCACCCAAGGTCTAGCACTAGCGTTCATATCCATCTTTGTTTTTAACCAATATGCTAAACTAGGGAGGAACGGGATCCAGTCTCCAGTCTTCATTCTCTGGACTTCTCTAGGGTCCCCCAATAGCCAGGACCAGACAAGATAACTAAGACATGCATGCTCCTAGCATGGGAAGGTCCAGCAACAAAAAGCATGGCCCCCACCCTCAGGGAGACCCCAGCCCAGCGAGCCTTACAAAGGACCACCCTGAACAAAGAGGACTCCTGAGGGTGCAAAACCAAACCAGGGAGATGATGGACTTCACGTGGGGGCCTGCAGACTGGTGAGAGAGGCCTGCCGGAGAAGTACCTGTCCCAGGGTCAGAAGTCAGGCAGTTTGCATCCACTCTGCATTTACAAGTCACGTCACCACGTTGAGCTTCAGTTTCTTCATCTGCAAAACCAGCAGGGCTAGTTCTTAGGATGAAAAGAGACATTTGCCAAAGCCCAGAGTATCCTACAAATACATTCTGGAGTCAAGTCAAGACTCCCTTCCATGTGGTACAAACAAAAGTAATGGGAGGTCGTGGTGGAGACTTGGGCACAGCAGCTGGCTTTCTGGGCTGATTCAGATGGTGGGGAGAGCCGTGAGGAAGCTTGAACTTTAGAGGTTCCCAAGAGCCACTTTCTCTCTCAGGGAGCCAGAGCAGGAAGGGATGGAAGGAATGGAGTGAAGTAAAGTGAGCAGCCCTGGGGTTCAGACTGTTTCTTTGTTTTGTTTTGTTTTGTTTTGTTTTGTTTTGTTTTGTTTTTGAGACAGAGTCTTGCTTTGTTGCCCAGGCTGGAGTGCAGTGGCGCGATCTCGGCTCACTGCAACCTCTGCCTCCTGGGTTCAAGCAATTCTCCTGCCT